GCCGCCCCGCTCCGCTCCGGCCCGGCCTCCCGCCGCCGGCGCCGCCCGGTCGCGGCGCTTCTGCCCCTGCCCGCCCGCGGCTCCCTGCCTCTCTCAGTGGGGTCCGGTTCTTTTTCCCTTTCTGCGCGTCGCCTCTCCTCCTTCAGAGGGGGCGAAACGCGCAGGCAGCGCCGCGTTTAGCTGGGTCTGGGGCGGAGGCGCAGGTTGCCCGTGCGAGTGTCTTCAGCTCGGTCTAGAAACAGGGCCCCATTCAAATCGTGTGCTGTGACCCAGCGCGTTGCTGCTGGTTCTGGTTCTGGTTCTGGTCGGTCGGTTGGTTTGTTTTGCCTTTGCTGTCTTGCTCAGCGGTATTTTAGTCCCGGTGCCAGCCGAAGTGGTGCGGGAGAGCCCCCGCAGCCCCGGTGGCGAAGGACCGGCGCTGATCGGCTCCCCGGGTCCGCCGGCCTGCTGAGGAGCCCGGGGAGGGCTCACCAGCTCTGCGGGCTTCGAATTGTAAAGTGACTTTCACCTTTACGGCGGGATGTCGGTATCTCTGCGGCTAAGCCGGAGCGTACACAGGGAGGCATGTGTGTGAACTTCTGTCCCGCCAGAGGTCACACGGAGTGTTTGCTTACTGCCCTGGTTCCCCCTCCCAGGCTGCAAGCGCAGGGCAGCTCGCTCCCTCGTGAAAGAGACACTTTTCTTCTTGTAGGACTCCTCTGTGTGAGGGAAATTTGCTCCGCTGCAGGCTTGGGTGTGAGGTAGAGTGCATTAGTGTGAACTGCTCTCACCGTTATATTTTAGTGTGCAGTAACAGTGACATTGTGTGACAAGACTTCCCCTGTTTTCGAGCGGTACCGACATGCTCTCTGAGGATCCTCTTAGTGTGCTGAAGAGCAGTGTCATAGAATAGCTCCAACCTCTGTACAGTAACTTCTGCTGGTGGACAAATCTAGCGATGGTAGTAAGACCAGACTAGGAGCTAATGTAGAGGACTGTGTCCCTCTGTTCATGCCTTCCTTCACGTGCTAGTTTTTCTGTTTAAGCAAGCCTGGAGTTAAACAGGACCTCTTAAGGCTTTAGGCGTGTAGAGACTTTACAAGATTGAGGCATGAGTACAAACAAGATTTCCCAAGTGATGCAGATACAGAGATTCATGTAATTATCAGTTAAAACTGCTTTGGAACCAAGGTTCACATCTTTGAAGCCTCTGTCTTTGAGATCCACATCTTTTAGTCACATAAATATCTGAAGTCCTTAGGCTCCTAGGTATTTGGTGCTGGACCTGTGCAGAGCCCTTGCCATTCACAGCAGAGCTAAGCAGTGGCATATATGCTTCACTGGGAGTGAAGACGAGGAGAGAGAAAATAAAGGGATAATCCTCTGCAGTGGCAATCTGTCCTAATGAAGCTTTTCCACTTTGCATAAAATTTTTATTAGGAAGAAAACCTGTCGCTCCTGGCCACGTATATGCTGATTGCTAAGCAGTAGTTAAGGGCTTGTCCTTATCTTCTATTTTCAGCTTGTGTAAGAATTAGTTATGTAAAAATACTTAGCATTGGTTTTACATATTGGGCTTTCTCTTTTAATCAACTGCTTGCATTACAGCCTGGGTTCTACTTCCTTTCTGTGTGTTTTACTTCTTACTGTTCTTGTGCAAGGTTTGATAAGTGCTTGGTCTTTGCATGTTTATGCTGGCAAATGAATTTAATTGGTATCTTTAAGTTTCCAGCATTCTTTTTAAGCTATCTAATTAAACACTTGGTACATTGAACACATTAAAAGCCTTCTTTTACAGTAGTACAAACAATTTGTTTCTGTAGCTACACCCCACAAACTGAGATGCAACAAAGTATGCTGAAAGTAAATTCATGTCTCACAAAAGTAGGGTTTAACTAGAGTATAAAGTTTCTGGTTTGTGTTTTACAGCAGATGTTAAAGGAGACCAGAATTTTTGCACAAAAAATGTTCGAAGCATATGTATACATGTATTATTTTACTACTTTGTCTTTGCTGCCATCAGGCTTTACCATGCTCCGAGCCTTTAGTCACACAAATGGTAGATGTGCGTTCCATCATGCTAAGTGTTGGTATCATCGTAAGTCTGTGCTGGCAATCAGGAGAGAAGATGTTAATGCATGGGAAAGAAGAGCACCTCTGGCACCAAAGCACGTTAAGGAATTGACGCAGATGGGATACAAGGTCTTGGTGCAGCCGTCAAACCGGAGAGCCATCCATGAAAAGGTAAGGTCCCATTTGGAGTTAGATAAGCAAAACCATAGTTCAGCTATTAACTATAGTACAGGAAAAATAATATTCAAAGGATATACATGAGAAAACGTATTATTAGTTTTGTTGTTAAGTGAGGAGTCATTGTGTCCTAGTGGAGAGAAAAAGGAGTAGTTTGTTTAGACTTTTAATGTAATGTTGGCACACTGGTGGGTTTTTGGAGTTATTTTTATTGATTTCTCGCCCTTTCATCAGTCTCTGAAGAAGTTGTCGGTGCTTTTGAAGTAGAAACTTGGGAATTCATTTAACATTGGTGGTTTTGTCTTCTGTTTGTATGGAGGCAACACTCTGAAAAATAAGCATATTTAAAAAAAAAAAGAGGAAGGAGGAATCTGGTGAATCCCATTCCTGCTCATGTAAAATGAGGAGAGAGGGTTTTTTTCTTTAATGCTGTGACCTTCAGGACTGAGAGCTTTTACAGTTCTTGTAGCAGCAGTAATACACTACTGTAAAGTATGTGAGCCAACAGACAAAAATTGAAACATAAGTAGGGAATTAGTGATCACTTGCTCATATCACCTTTTAATTAAGGCGCAGTGCTGGTTTTCACCAAAGCACAGATCACATTAGGTACACAACTACGATATTGAAAGCTGGAATTTTAATATGTTTCTGAGATAAGGGAGAACAAAAATAAATTTTGATATGGAAAAACATTCTTTTAGAAGTTGCTCTTCAGCTTGGACTTAGTCTTATACAATTTTATAAAATCACATGTCATCAGTCTTCAGATTAATTTGTCAGATTTCTCTAAACTTATTTCCAAGTATTTCAACACATTACAAAAGATTGTTCATAATTGCAATACTATAAGATACTTTAAATGTAGTAAAATATCCTTTTTGTAGTCTGTGAATTTAAGATGAAGGATTTTACTAACACGTAATTATGTTTTGGCCTTGTATAATAGGATATTAGCATGGAAATTCAGTTCGATATTTGATACCCCTTTTGATAAAGAGGTTTATGAACATATCGCATGCAGTAACTTGTTTCTGCTTTGTAGAATTATATATTTGAGGTCTGTTCTAGTTGCTTATGTGCTGAGATCTGAATATGAAAAAACTAGAAAAATTTACTTTGATTTTTCTCTTTCATAGGATTATGTCAAAGCAGGTGGCATTATTCAAGAAGATATTTCCGAGGCTTCTCTGATACTAGGTGTGAAGAGACCTCCAGAGGACAAATTAATCCCTAAAAAGAACTATGCCTTCTTCTCTCACACTATTAAAGCCCAAGAGGCAAACATGCCTCTTTTGGATGAGATTCTAAGACAGGTAAATTGCGTCACAGCGAAGACAGTTGGCTGTTAGCATGGGGTGGAAACTGAACCTAACGCTGAAGTGTGATCGAAAGCTTGCTGCCTAGCGTGGTTACTTTCAGCATACATATTTGTAGAGGGCTAACGAGGACTGTTTTCAGTATCCTTTCCTGGAGCTGAGTATTTCTTGCTCAGAGGATCTCGTGCTTGCAGCGCTACTCTGTTTATGTGTGTAAGGCAGATGAGTTGCAAGTATCGTGTGCTAAGGGGAGGTTCATGCTGTGTGAGCACAAAGGCTTGTTGGAAAGTTATTAAGCTGGAGTGCGTGTTGGTCGTTAGAGAGGGAGGCAGCCAGTTCACTCAGAAAGAGCAGCCTCTTGGCAGAGGATGTGAATGGGTCTGCAGCAGCTGAAGTGGCCCATTGGAGAGCTCTGTGCCAAGAGTGCACGGGCAGTGCAAAGACTCTTTGAAACAAGAATTCAATGCAACCTTTAGTTTTTTATTTTTATACTTACATCTTGTTATGAATTACTTGCCTTTCTCATATATGCCCATCAGCCTCTATCACGAAGAATGACAAAAGCATATGAAAAGGTAGTTCCTAGGAGAGCAACGTGCCACTGACTGCATTCACTGAAAATTTTAATACTCAGTTTGCTATGTATTTTCAGGAAATTCGACTGATTGACTATGAAAAAATGGTTGATCATAAAGGAATGCGAGTTGTGGCCTTTGGAAAGTGGGCTGGTGTAGCAGGTATAGTGCATAAAGTAAAGGCAGGCTTGCAACAAGTAACTTCGTGTAATACTTCTGGTTGTCTACGTTTCCTGAAAGTTGAGGCTTGCAATGCATTTTTAACTGCATTTTTAACTCCTGCTTTTAAGAGCTTTTTTCCATTCTGTTTTGTGCTCCCTACTTTTGATGAGACTACACATCAAATAGTCCTGTGGATTGCTGGCAAATCTACTATTTTATGTTGTCTGGAAGTCCCATTTGTCTATTCAACTAATGTGAGGCAGACTAAATATCAAGAGATCAACTGAGTAGGCTTTTGAAAGAAATGGCTGCTGTCAATCCTGCGAGTTTGAACAACATCTGTTTGTCACTGTTATACATTTACACTGATTTTTGTGAGGCATGGTTCTCATTCCTTTCTACTGAACTTCAACTCTCTTTCATCAGGAGACTGTCTTTATTATCTCCTTCTTTGGAATCTGGTGATGTGGATGCATCTCATAAAAGGATAGCCGAGTATTAAATAGTGCTGAAATGCATAATGTGGGCCAAGAGCAGGTTTAAGGTCATGGCCTGCTACTGAATTTCTCCTTGCCTGGTTTTATGTAGACTTTCCTTAGAAGTAAAGTATTAATATTAGAACACGGGCAAAAATATCCAGGATGATTTTAGACTTCAGCCAGTCTCTGCAGTTTCTAACTGCATATTCCTAATTAACACTGATGGTCTGATTTTCCTTTTTTTGTTTTAACGATAGGAATGATCAACATTCTGCATGGATTGGGATTACGATTTTTAGCCCTGGGACATCACACTCCCTTCATGGTAAGAGTATAGGTGTATGTATTTTTCTTTAGCAAAAATGACATTCGAGCATCTGCTAATTATCTGTATTTGAATATGGAAAATATCTTGATGGTTCTGTGCCTTTGATTGCAGCACATTGGGATGGCGCATAACTACAGGAATAGCAGTCAGGCTGTGCAGGCAGTACGGGATGCCGGGTATGAAATTTCACTGGGATTGATGCCAAAGTCAGTTGGGCCCTTAACATTTGTGTTTACAGGCACTGGTAATGTTTCTAAGGTAAGAATTCTGTCCTCAAGATGAAATGCTATATTATTTTTAATAGAACTTCTTGGCATATGATGCCTATCAGGTTAAATGGGTTGATGGGTTAATTTTGTTTGCTTAGACTTCAGGTTTTCCTTTCCTAGTAAGAATTTTTAAGTACCCTAAACTAATGCCTTTAAGATGAGATCATGCCTGACAAGGCTGACCGTGCTAACTTCTTACCATGAAAAATGGGTTAAGTCTTACTGCTCCTCTCTCCTTTCCCACCTGCATGATTTTTGTCTCCTGCTCTCCCCTCTGTTGACTCTAGGCTCACAAGATATGTTGAATCACCCCATTAAAGTGTGGGGGGAAAGAATTATTTTTTCTAATACTTGCTGAGTTTTTATATCTGTTTTCATAGCATTGACTTAGCTTATAAGTGCTGGACTTCAGAGCTATTTTCTGTGGCATAGAGCAAAGGCATACCCCTGGTTTTGGCAACAAAGATCAGTTAACTAGGCTCCAGCTATAAAATGAAATTACTGCCTATGCGAATGTGTGCTTTCTGGACGAAAGGATGGCATGTCTGAAAGGCCTGTGTTCTATGATCACAGCTTGTTGGGAAAGTCATTTTGAAGTTCTTTGCCTTTAGAACAGCCTGGTTGGTGAGGAGTGGCTCCAGGGGTCTTCCCTAAAGAGAAACTGCTGCTCAGACTGGCAGCAAAACCATCTATTGTGGCTGAGTTGAGGCCTCCCAGCTCTGCCATTAGAAATATAAACCAGGCATTGGATTGTGGGTCAGGCATACTGCAGTAATGGGGAATGATGTAAATTCCTTGTGAGTAGAGCCCAGGCAGCTTTGTTTTGGGTAAGCGGGGGCATGTGTGAAACGGCTTGTACATCTCTGAAGATGTTCTCTGGCAGGACTGTCAAGTTGTGCATGGCTTTTTTTTACATTTGTTTTCACAGACCAGATGAGCAGTGTTACTCTACCTTTATCTTCTCTGCTCATTCTGAATCCTACTTCATGGTTTACAGGGTGCTCAAGAAATGTTCAATGCCCTCCCATGTGAATTTGTGGAACCACATGAGTTAAAGGAAGTTTCCAGATCTGGAGGTATGCTGTGACAATAAAGTGATTGAAAACACTGGAAGCCTTTTTGTCCAAGTATAACAGCTAATTTTATTTATTTATTTTTTTAACCTCAGACCTCAGAAAAGTCTATGGGACAGTGTTAAGTCGTCACCATCATCTTGTAAGGAAATGTGATGGACTATATGACCCCGTAGACTATGATAAACATCCAGAACTTTACACTTCTCGCTTTAACACTGACGTAAGCACCTCTTCTGTTCTTTTATGGAAGGTTTTCCACAGAGTGGTGGTAGTTACTACACCTTTGCATATCCATCGATTAGGAGCATTCATTTAAAACACTTGACCAGGTGCTTTCAACTTCTTAAAGTACTAGATGAGAACATCAGGCACCTGTAACTTTCTTTGCAGGTTGCACCTTACACAACTTGTTTAATTAATGGCATATACTGGGAACAACATACTCCTCGCTTGTTGAGTCGACAGGATGCTCAGAAGCTGCTGGTGCCAGTTAGATCTGCTGCTGGTGCAACAGGGGGCTGTCCTGAGTTACCACACAAGTAAGACACTTCAGTTCACTCGTAACAATTCTGTAGCGCCATAATTAAGTCATAATGTTAGGCAGTTTCACAGCAGTATCTACCAAATGATTCTGTTTCTTACGTCCTCCTTGCATGTTGCATAATGCCCCATTGATTCTGCTTTTGTCCTTCTGTGCTTTGCAGTCTTGTTTCTACAGTTTAGAGTTTTTGAAAACATCACAGTACAAATGATTGACAGGTATCAGCTGTCTTTCTGCAAAGGTAGTTCTGCCATTGATCCTTGTGCAGCCTCCAATACAAAGAGTGCGACATCTGGGAAGTGTACCTGCTGCACCATTATTGCTAGAAGTCTCTATGCCTGAGCAGAGCTTGTTGGCCAAGTTCTTCCTACCCTGTCATTTGGCTTCTGCAAGTTCAGTAACTGTTCCTTAACACCTCTGATTTCTGCAGCAGGTAGCAGAAATGCTTCATAACCCTGAATAGCTTTAAGGATGTAACATGGGGTACAAATCCAGGGTTAGTCTCCTTTCAGCATGGGTGGGACCCACCCTTTCTCTAATAGTCCTGTGTAATAGTTCTCCAGGAGACTGGTCTGGCAGTGGGTTTGGGGAAGATGTGGCAACGTATCCTGGTGAGGAAGCAGGTCTTTGTCTCTTCTCTGCTCACTCTTGGCACCTTTCTTTCTCTCACATGACAAATAAAGAATTTAAGTGTTAACCTTGAGTGGAACCAGAGATTGTGAGTTAGGCTCATGAATGCTCCACCTGCCCCAGCTATCTGTGAACTGAAAGGAGGCAGCCACTTCTTCAGGTTTCCCTTTATGCTGATGAAGTTATTCTAGTGCAGGACTGCCCATTGACAGCTCGGGGGAATTGGTAGATGGATAATGAATGGGAGGTGTTGGCAGCACATGGATTACAAAGAAGAAATGATGAATGAGTGGATTCTCCTGGTCTTTGAGAAGTTACACATGAAATATGGATCCTGTTGATGAGAATGGAAATTTTATGACTACAGTAGGACCAGATTTCCATTATGTTTCTCAATGTCATTGTTTGTGTTGACTTCTAAATTGGTTAAGATGAATGAAACTACAAGTCTGATAGATCTTCTCACGTTTATTTACTGTTTACTTGTGATCTTTTATATCTACATTTCTTAGTAATTTGGGTAATGCTCTATTCCTTCGTCTTTTTTGTTTAATGGCTTTAGACTTCTGGCAATATGTGACATTTCAGCAGACACTGGAGGATCCATAGAATTTATGACGGAGTGTACAACAATTGATAGTCCATTTTGTATGTATGATGCTGACCAGCATATTATTCATGACAGGTGGGAGAAGCTTTAATTTTTATTGCTTGCCTCTGTAATTTGTACAGTGAAACATTATATTGAAAAATCATGCGTTTAAAACACTTCTGAAAGGTGGTACTTTTCAGGTACCAAGGAGAAGTAGTTTAGAAGAGCTGTGTTCTCTCTTTCAGTGTTGAAGGCTCTGGGATTCTGATGTGTTCCATTGACAATCTGCCAGCACAGCTTCCTATAGAAGCAACAGAATACTTTGGCGATATGCTTTTCCCATATATTGAAGAGATGGTAAGGTCTTATGTGTCCAACACGAAGGTAAAAGTCTCGGACTTTGGTCTGCTTGTTTATTGCTTTTCTGGTCTCCTGTATATGTTCAAAAAGAATCTGCTGTAGAACATAACTGACTTTGTACTTCAAAAAAAGAAAAAAAGCTTTCTAAGTCTTGAGGCAATACTTTCAAAAAGCAACATGTGAATGAGACATTAGTGACCTGGATGTCTTAGGGATTTGTCAAGAACACTTTCTGTGGGCAGGAAACAGGCTCTGGCAGGTAGTTCATTGCTCCTGAACCCTGCAGTAGATGTCTAAATCTGATTTTCTTGGGGCACTCAACAATCACTCGCAATCAGACTGCTGTTTGAATTCCTGTATTTTCATAAAAGTCAAATGACACTGATCAGGGCCAGGAGAATTTGGGATCTACAAGATACTGGTATTGTTGCATGCATTTAAATGTTGCTTAAAATCTTGAAGTTTTAGTCTGAAAAAAAATATGGGAAATAAAATGACCTGATTTAAAATAACTTATATCTCCATAGCTGTTATCAGAAGGCTCAGAACCTCTTGAAAGCCAGAAGTACTCATCTGTTGTTCGAGATGTAAGTTTTGCAATTTGGCACTCTGCTTGTCTTCCTCTGCTTTAAAACATACAGGTACAAAAAACCCTCAAAATTTGTTTCGTGTATTTCTAGGCAGTGATTGCATCCAATGGCTCACTGACAGCTAAGTATGAATATATCCAGAAATTGAGGGAGAGCAGGTAATGTATAGCTTCTTAAAATTCAGAATTTAAAAAACCAAACAAACACTTGTCTGCATTCTATCTTCCGTTTTGCATTTATTTACTCTTGTGTTTTGGTGGAATATTGCTATATTACACTGTGTCTAAGTGTCTCCTAACTTGATGATTTCCTTCTTTCTTCATGGACATTGCCTGAATCATTAACGTGTTGTTAGTAACTTATATTGAAGTTGAGAAAGTGGTCATTCTTCTCTTTCTTACATTATGAAGATCATTTTACCAGAGGCAGAAAGCAGCCACATGCCAGTATTATTCTGTTACTCCTTGCCCTTTTAAAATGTATATAACATGCAGTCCTTTGAAAGGAATGGCTGAAAAGAAAAGGCTCTCTAATATACCTTGAATCTAGTTTCCCCTAGTATGGCTCAAGTGCTGTGCTGTATAGCATTGTTCTGTGACTGTATGTATTCAGGAGCCTCTGTGAGACTCTCAGACTTTTCATTATATTCCTGGAGCTACAGCTTTAGCTACCACTTCATCCATAACCTGTCTCGGTAGTTACCCGCCAGTGGTAATGTGAAAGAAGTAGCATTGAGTGGATTAAGCTAACAAAAGTATAAATAACCTGGATATCCCTTCCCCTAGCTCCCTATTATTAACAAACACCTATGTTTTACCTATGAAAAGTGTTAATTTGACAACAAGTGGGTACCTCTGGCTTCATGTTCATAGTCAATGCCAGCTGCACTGTACATCATATAAAAGTTGAAATTGGTCTGACCACAAGCACTGCATGCCCTATGCACTAAAAGCATAGTGTGTTGACTTTTGCATGCCAAGCTACTCCAGTTTCCTTTGGGAACTTTGGGAGTTCTGGTTATGAACTTGTGCATGATGAACTACAGGTGCATTTTCCACCCGTAGTAACATGCTGTTTGCCTCTCAAAGACTTCAGCTCACAGTGATTTTTGTTGTGTGCTGCTTGGTAGACCACCTCAAGAGGCTGTCTCAGTAATAAATTTTCTTATTCCTCACACAGCATGATGATCTGTTTGTTTGTTTTTTTTTTTTCTTTCTTCATAATCGCTTGCATGGTCTTGTGTGAACTACTCTGAGAATCTGGAGACTTCATTCTCAAGGGGTTTTTTGTGGGTAGATTTTTGATATTTCTGCAGACCTGTGTGTTGCATGTGATGTTCAGTTGTTCATTGGTGTTGCTCGCTTAGCTGTCAGAAAAGCAAGACCTGCTAACAATACCCTCCTTTACTTTGCAAACTTTGGAGATGATGCAAATGAAAGCAGGGATTTTACTGCTCAAGGTGTGATGGTTTAGCTGGAGATGGGCTCTTGTTTAGAGCCTGTAGGAATTACGTGGCTTGTGTTATTACTCTAACAAAGTATTGTGCTGTGTCTAGTTTAGTTTCTGAGGGCTCTAGAATAATTGCTTATACCCTTTGGAAGTCCATGATCATTTCAGACATAAGATAGCTGGACTGTATGAGCTGAACTGTCTTGGGTGCCATTAGAATGCAGGAGCACTTTGATTTACTGAACTTATCTCCATCTTTTCACCTTTACTTGCTTCATACCTGCGACTGGTTCCTCATCCACAACTGCAATGGCATATCCCATTAACAGTGTGGACCTCTAAGTATTACTGTTATTTGTTCATCGATAAACATAACTGAATTATTTAAACTTGTATGTAGAGAATAGGCATAATCTGAAATATTCTTTTCTGGGACTGTGTAGATTCTGTTCCCATTCTTGGTGGGTCATTTAGCAGCTCATGTTTGTGCCTGTCCTAGAGCAGACGTGCTATGTTTGATCCAAGCGTGACCTCATTCTAGACACTGGAGAAGTTTTTAATAAATAGGATAAGAAGTTTGATTGCAAAATCCAGCTTGCTTTCATGTTGGAAGTCTTCCCTTTGTCAACACTGTTGCTCCAAGCTCCTGCATGCCACTGCTGCTCCCTATTAGTAGAGGGTGGAGTGGAATTCTTTTTCTTCCCTTGCCTGTGAGCGTGTAGCTGTGGAAGAAGATGTTCTATTAGAATTGATAGTAGTAGGAGGAAGGTCCTTGGGTTTGTCATATGAAAGGATATGATGGGCTTAGGAGGCTTTCTGTGAATGGATTAAGTCATGATTTAAGTTTTTAAAAAAAAATCAAATCTGTAAAACTTGGATGAAGGTCAAAATGCACAGTAATCTGTAGTAATAAATTGGATAGATTAGAGAGGTGATACATTGGTACATCTCATTCGTATTTAGTGAATTGAAAAGAATGACTGTTAAAAATTTTAATCAAACCAGAAAGTGGAGGAAGGGAGGATGGAACATGTGGAATTTTGGAGAGTAATTCAAGCTTTACAGATACTCAGACACAGATAGTAGGCTTGAATGTGCTTCAGACAGATGGTACAGATACATCTGGTATTGATTTAACTCTTTTCACTCGGAGTAGTCTTTCAAAGCTATTGTTTGAGGCCTTGCTCCCCCAAATGTATGTGGGTACTTCATGCCATGCTTCAGGTCATGCAATACCGCTTTTGTTGTCATGCTATTAGGTATTGCTCTGGCAGGCTCCAACACCATCCTTCATTATTATGGCCATTTTTGAACCGAAAAAACACAACCGAAAATTGAGTTATGGATGCCATGTGGAGCCCCAAAAAGGTCTGAACCAAACATTATTTAGAAGACATATGGTTAGTCCTCTTCTAAGGACAATAGCTTTAAGCAAAGTGGACATGAGCTTGTCAGGTAGAGGTCAGGAATCTCTCTGTGGCATAATCCACAATGCAGTATATGCCTTTGTAAACTCTCAGTAGATAAAGGGGAAACTGAGGAACTTGCTTATACACTTATGAAGTTTCCCATAAGTCTGTATCTTCAAAGGTCCTACCTATTTATTGAAATTTGTTTTCAGGATATGGGATAAGAAAGGCCAAACCTCAATCTCCATTAATTAGGTGAAACAACAGGGCAATGAACAGCTTCCTTTTCTTCAATGATAAAAAGTGCTTTAAGAAAATTTTTTTTATTTGTTAAGTAGTTTTTATCTGCATAGTGATGATATGTTAGACATACAGTTTTACAGTCCTAATTTTACAACATAATGCAAATCTAAGCTAAAAGGAAAAATAATTATAAACAACCAAAATATGTTTTCCTACTATAATTTACACATTTATGAAAGCATATTTAAACAACTGCTGAACTGCTGAACGTTATTCTGGTTGGCAAAAAGAAATGCAAAATCTGATGTGAATACATTTTATGTTGAAAGTCAACAGGAGAGCTACTTAAGTTTATTTAGGAATGTAGTAGAAGCTTCATTGAAACACTCTGTGATGGTTTTCAAATCTGAGTTCTTGTCTGCAAACAGGATTTCTTAATTGGGCATTAACTTTTATTTGACTTTTATTGACTATCATGTTCATATGATGGCCTAATGTGAACCTAGTATAACTTCACTAAAATATGCTTTCACCAGCATGGTTTTGTGTACTTCAGCAGTTACCCATGATGTAAAGGGAGGAAGGCAGAGCCTGGAATCCCTTTCTGACAGCCCAGCATGACATAGACAGCTTGGCAGTCCTCAAGTGATCAGGTTATAGTAATTTGGCCATTGGGAAAAATATTGTGACAACTGAGGAAAAATTTGTTGAAGATCCAGTAGCAGTTGTAGAACCAGTGGCGATGTTGATGGATTTGATCATGTTTATGTCAGAGGAAAGAAACTAGAAGTTATGCAGCAGAAGAATGGAAGCAGTACTAGACAGCAGTTGCCCAGTCTTGGGTTAGGTAGCCAGGAACTTGACTTGGTCTGAATAGAGCTTGTGGTTTGTAGACTTACTAAAACATATTTATTCTGTTAGCTCTAGCAGCTTACAGTTTGCTGCTTCTGTGTGGGTTTTAATTTTGCCTGTAACACCTCCTAGGGAACACGCTCAGCTGCAGAAGATGGGTAATAAGAAGGTTTTATTGCTCGGATCTGGCTATGTTTCTGGCCCTGTACTTGAATATCTCACTAGAGATTCCAGCGTTGACATCACAGTTGGTATGTAAGACTCTGCTTGTTTTTAATGGAAAAATTATGTCTTATTTAAACCTGCTAGCATGGCAGAACCTTTCTCATAAGTGGGTCTGGTTCTGAGAACAGATGAAGAAAATTGGTGTTATTATGCATAGCAGAAAATGATTTTGTAGCTTTCTGAGCATTTGGAGTTTATATAATTGATTTGAAAATGACATAGCCACATTAAAAGTTTACTGTTTGCATGTATAACCTATAGGCAAGTTAGAAATATTTGTCCTTCTAACCTGCTTTGGGCTTGGGATTGGTTTTGTAGCTAGTCAGTCACTTTTGTTGGTGTTTGGCTGTGTTTTCAGACTCACACAAGAAGAAGATGAAATTGTTTTTATAGACATCTGTATGAGTGAAGCCACTGCTGTTGTTATAACCAGTACTGTGGTGGTAAACCTTCAGACCCTGACCTTCCCATCAGTTCCACATGCCTGCTTGTTTATTCCTCTGTTTTGGTTTTATCTGTAGCATATTTCAGGCTGAGCATCTCAGAAACACTTTTCTGTACCCTCGATGATGACTTTACCCTGATTCTGTGATATCAGATTTAAAACCCAGGCTGTATCGCCTGAAAGATACTTTGCTGGGAAGTGGTTTCCTTTAAAACTTACTGTTGTATTTCTGTTTATTTTTGTTGTTGTTATTGTTGTTGCTTTGGTTTGTTTTTTCCCTGCATGCTACTTTCATTCTTGGCTGCTTTTGCTACCCTTTGCAGTGATAACCATCGTACTTTTAACCCTTAGGAAAAGATTTACAAGGAAGAAGAGGGGAACTCTACTGTTATCACCACTGCCTGATGCAGTGATCGGGGAAGGATTACAGCAGTGTCCATTCCCTCATCGGTACGGAGGCTGCATCTAGCACCTGCAATACAGTAGTAGTAAGGGAAACCAGTGAACTGAAAGATCTGTTTTGCCAAGCACTGAGCAAACATAGCAGGTGCCTCTTATCTGGGTAGCTTAAAAGCATGCAGTTTCTACAGCACACACAAAAAAAGCTCAGAAGGAAAGACACACAAATATGTTACTTGTCTGATACTTGACAGCAGGCAGGTAGATGAAGAAAGCATAAAATGCACATCGCAGTGCCACATTTGGTTCCCTACTGTTAGGCTACACCACTTTAAATCCAAATGACAAAGATCTTAATTGGGAAACCTTCATGTAATCAACGTTTTTTGGTTTGAATTTGTAGATGATTTTGCCTAGCTCTTTTCTCTCAGCACAAGTTGATTACTAGGGTACATAAAATCGCTCTCTGGCAATGTTAATTTCCCATTGACTTTGCAAAGGCCATAAGGAAATAAGGCCCTATATTAGAGGCACAGATGCTTTTAAATCTCTGTAAGCCTGTGCCCTACCTGCTGCCTTCATTGCCCACTCCTTTCTCCTGCCTGTGTTCCAATTGCCATCCTTGTGCTGGCAGCATGGTGAGCCAGGACAGGAAACCAATGCGCTTTTAGTCAGATGTGGTAAATACTGGTTGCTTTAACCTGGATCTCTTTTTCAGTTCTGCTTTGCTTATAATGGTAAGTGTTGGTGGCAGTAGGAGCAAGATAACAGGAAGGAACAAGTGGAGACAGGCAGAGACTGGATTTCTCCCTTTTAGTGGTAATAGTAGCATATGCAGGATTGGTAGGACTAAGCCATAGGTAAATATTGAAACTAGTCAGATTGAATCTGGGCCTTTTAGTCATATTTGGCCTAAGCAAAAACTTAATGTTTGTATCTTTGTTCTGTTAAAAATGGTGAATGCTGTGAAATGTTTTTGTTTTAAGCTATTAAGCTATTCTTGGGTCTAAATAGGAATTCAGTTAACCAGATTATCTATAAACGTATGGCTATGTGGAATGAGGGATGGGGTAAGCTTTTCTGGGCACATGTTTATTTACTAAATTTGTTAGTTAGCTGTGTTGAACCTGCGTGTTCATCAAGACCTTAAAACTAGTTAAGGTTTTCCTGTCTCACTTGAACCAAGCACAGCCTGAAAAAGAAAAACAAATTTTCCTTTTTGGACTTTTTCCCCTCCTGGCCTTCTAATCAGGTTCTTGCTTTTCAGTGAAGTAGTCTGTGCTTTTGCGGAACTAGCTACTACCACCAAAAACTGACTGAATACTTCACCTCTGCATTTATTTGGCCAGGTTAGAGAAGTGAACATTTTTAAAACCAGGAGAAAATATATACTGCATAGTGACCTAAAATACTTCAGGCCTCAAGATAAATTGTTGCACTGATTGAAAATGGTTGTTTTTCAGCAGGATGATGCTAATCCCAAACCAGTTTACTTTTAAAACATATTGGGCATACAATTTTTTCCATTGCAATCTTCCCTTAAGAGTCGATGCAACACAGTATTTCATTAAATTGGGAAGCACTGGACATGCCTTTTCTGTATGTCCATGTGAAAGTCAAAGCAAGAATAAAACCTCTGCCTGCTTCAATGCTATTTAATTATTCTGTTTCACATGGGGTTGTAAACCTGCAAGGAAAGGCACTTTTTGGGGTCGGCAATTATTTTTTATTTTTTCCCCTACCTTTCTAGTTGTGCAGTGCTTCTCCAGCAAATTGATGAACTCATGAATCCCAATAGTATTTAATATATCTAGGACCACGATGCAAGTTTCTGGCATTCTAGTTTTCTCCTACACCTTGTTCTGCCAAGCAGACCACTGCATGACTCATTTAAGTAAGGGTTGCTAGACCCAAGGGGTGATGTTCCCCCCAAATAAAGCATGAAGATCAAGCCTATTGTGTGATTGCCCACCAAATAAATAAGGAAAAGAAAAACTGCTGCTTGGTTTCATAGTACTGTATGTGGGATGTCACTGAGTTCCTACTCGTTACTCTGACTTCTGTTCTCTTTCTCTCCTTTTAAAGTTTTTCTTTTGTCTGATCCTTTTGACTCCCTACCCCGAACAGCTTTTCCACTAATACTCTACCTCCGAAAAAATACTGGTCTGCCTGAATGGGCTAGTCATACTTTTCACTGGGCATAGCAGAGCTGTTGTTACATTTTTCTGCTGGTCGTCTTTATTTTATTTTTCCCAGACCTTGCGTGGTACGTTTATTGTTCTAGTTCTTCTCCTATATCAATAGAAGTGTTTACTACAGCTCTTGCCACTTTCTTGTGATCTCTCTCTAAAACTTTTCTCTAGCCTGAGTGTACACATCCAAGTGCCCCTCTTGTGTGACTGTTATTTGTAGTCTTCACCCTCAAACACTTTCTTTAATTGATCTGCTTCTAGATCCAGGATAATAGTGTATTTCTAAGGATTCCAAAATAACCTGCTTTTATCCTTCCATTAGTGGTTTGGTCACTTGTTCTTTGAAAACTTTGTAACGTCTTTTTCAGTATGTTTTGATACTTACCAAAGAGTGGCAGGTGTTCATCTGAGATATCAAAGACTGAACCTCCAGTATGTATGTTTTTTTTTAAACCTAGAATATACCTTGCCACAGGTTTTTATGAGGGGTCAGAGTTAAAGACATGGGAGTATGCGTTCGGGGTGGATCACAACCCTGCCTAGCCTATACTAAAATTGTTGGGTTTATGTAACTAGTTAATGACACTTTTGTGATGCATTTCTGCATAAGAGATGCATTCATTCAGCAGACTTTTTTTCCCTCTCCCTAAAAACCACTTAGGTGTGAATGTGTGCTTCTTTCTGTTTAGTTTATCTGTTTTCCCACCATGTGGGTGCTCAGTTACCTGGCAAATGTAGACAGTGCTGCTGTAGAAAACCATGCCGGGAGGACACGTGCACATTATGCAAGTGAGCTGGTGGGTTCTGGGGTGTCCTACTGCACAAAGATAGGTTTAACAGTCCTTTATCTCATGTTCTAGACCCACTTCTTCATAGAGTGGAAAAGAGACTTCTAGTTTTGCATAAATAATTTGTGTTGACCTAGTCTGCTGATAGGAGAACTGCAGTTAAAACTTTTGCTAAAGTACACCCACAAAGTTGCTGATTGGTTACAAGTCTGTTCTTGTTACACAATTTAGCAGTGAGTGGTTTGTTACTTCTGAGATTAAGTATTCTTTGTAGATTTTTGTTCTTGAGTTATAGCTGCTATGGCTTGACACTAGCACTTGATAATAAAATTGACTGCTTTAGGGGAAGTAAGGTGCTTTATGCCCGATTTCTCTTCAGTCGTTAGTGAAGGAAAACATCCGTGCAACTGTTTCTCTTTGGGAAGAAGGAGGTGTGTGTAAAGCACAATTGTATGTGGGAGTGCTTTGGATTTACCTTCATCTTTAGGTAACAGTTGATGTGTTTTACTTTTAAAACAGCATCTGTCATGAAGGAACAACTTGAACAACTGACGAAAAAATACAGCAGCGTTACTTCAGTTCATATGGATGTCATTAAGCATGAGGAAAAGCTGTCCTCTTTGGTGAAGAAACATGACCTTGTGATCAGGTCAGAATTCTGTGTAGAACATGATAGGCTCAACCCTAAGTCATGCTGCTTCTTTCTCCTAGTCCAACATGGTAACTTTTTTTTTACTGCCCAAGAACTAGGGTCATATTTGTGTATGTAAATAGTTGTAACTGGCCACTGCCTTCTCAGGTAGCCAGGCATCAGGACTTTAAAAGGGGCTTTGACTGCAGCATCTTTTTAGAAGCGTTCACTAGTTACGTGGACAGCCTTCTTAGTGTGAGGGGCCAGTTGCGTCCACCAACGTATGTGTTCCTGGGATCAAATTTGCATATTTGCAAGAGGAGGCAAAATTCTGACATCTTGGCCATTTCTCTTAAATATCTCATTAAGAAAGATTTCTTTCCAGGTATCGAAACGGGAGGAAATGACTTCATAGTCCTTGCCATTTTGTCCCTTTTGCCACAGATGTCATGAGTGTTGTTTCCTTTCCAGGTAGAGCATGCTTTTCACAAAGTACTTCAGCAAGATCATTGTAATGCAAGCTTTCTCAAGGATGGTTTTACAGTTTTGCATCTTCTAAACCTCCACCATGCCTGTTTAGAAGGTGGCCTTGAAAAGAGTTCAGTGGTTTGTTTTTTTATAAAGAGAAGTGTGACAAAAGGTGCTGTCTAAAGAAAGATTCCCCTATTGCCCTGTGCCCTGTTCTGAGTGCATACAATAATGCTCTTCTGAGTAGCGTTGGAGGGTAGCATTTCACTTATGTAGGTATGAAACTGCTCAGGGCAAGGCAGGTATGACTGTTGCATTTACTTGAGCTCTTCTGTAGGCATACAAAAACCATTTGTGAGTGTCTTTCCAGTGACAGTGTAAGTAACTGGTCGGATTTTGATGTTGCATAATTCTTCATTTGTAGTTTGCTGCCTTATTCAGCACATCCTTTGGTTGCTAAGAAATGTATTGACAACAAAGTGAACTTGGTAACAGCCAGTTACTTAACACCAGCTATGAAAGAACTCCAGGAGAGGTAAGTATGAGACTAGCATCTCCCTGGTGTTGCTTCCTTCTTTAGTGCATTATCTGAATATTTTGCAGTCCGTTACACCTGCAACGCTTATTGTGAATTACTGTTTTCTGCATTCTTTCTCCCTCCCTTTCTATGACGGAGGACTAAGTACCTTTCCCCAAAGTTGCATGTGGAGGCTGTGGCAGAGTGGAGAAATGAGTGCATACCCTAGTCTGGTCAGACTAGTGCTCTAAACACGGGAACGTACTCTTCTGCATGCCCCATCTTATTCCATGTTAATGTGCCTTCCCCTCTCTCCTCAGACTTGTTAGGGTGTTTGAGCTGGGCTGATATTCAAGCTGAGCAGCTGGGCTGTCCTGGCCTACCAGTGACAGCAAGCTTCTTTGCCATCCTTCGCACTCCCCTAATAAAAACTCTTTCTTGGCTTATTGTATCTACAGTCATATACTCCTTCATGCCACCTTCTTTTGGACAGGCCCACTATATTAGTCTCAAATTGGTGACAGTTCTAACTATTCTAGTGTTTCTGTTGTCCTACGTACGTGATTGGAAGTCGTTTTGGGCATGGAGCTTCATCTAGGTGCTCCTCTCAGTCATGGTACTGGAACCTCTGAAGTGAATTCAAGTGAGCGAGATGAGAATTGTACGTGCTGTGTCTCTACAAAAGATAAAACAGAGAAAGCTGGACAGGTAGAGAACCAGAGTTCCAGACGATTAGGGAGGTTTAGGGGCTTCTCTCTCCTCCCCTTCTTGCTGTGATGCCAAGAGGTCATATCACATTCTCAAAAAAAAAAAGAAAAAGACACTTCTCATTTGTCAAAACACGAAGTGATTTTGAAAATAAAATAAGTCGCCTCAGTTACTGTGGTGGTAACTGAGCTGCTCTGGGAGTGTAGGCAACTGTTAAAAAAGAAAACCCAACTGCTTGTAATTTGGGAAAGTAGGCCTTTCAATCTTTTTCCACCACAGGAGCTGTTTAAGGCAATCATGACTAGCTCTGTGCTGTCCTCTGCATTACTACCTTCATACATTATAGCACTGTCCAGGAGAATGTGGGATATGGAGTAGCTGGTAGAAATTTCTTTTTCCACCAGCCCCTAGATGTTGCAGCAAAGTAAGAGAAACCAAGGCTACAATGACTCTCAGACAATTGTCACCGTTCAGGTTTTAACAACTGATTCTGTTTTTTTCCACAAGCTGCAGACAGAGCCCAGAATTTATTGTGTTTAGGGAAGTTCTCTGGGCCTTTGTTAGACAGATTTCCTGAATAAAAGGCCAGTAATAGTGAATATTCTGACAGCTCTGCATTTCTGTAATTTTTAGCGTAGAAGCTGCTGGTATTACAGTTATCAGCGAAATGGGTTTGGATCCTGGTCTTGACCATATGTTGGCGATGGAATGTATTGACAAGGCAAAAGAAGTTGGTGCTACGGTAAGGTTGGCAGGTAGTGCATAGTTCTGCCAAGATTTTATTAGTAAAGTTGTTCCTTTAACACCAGCCAGTTCTGGGGCATGTCACTGATGTGTAATGGACTCTGGATACCTTACTTTTTCTGATGCTTGGAATTTGGTGTCAACTAATCCAATTAGTGAGACCATCAACTAAGATGGCTTTGCCCCAGTGTATGTTTTGGTTTCCTCTCCTTTACGGATGGTGCCTTAAGTGTGACATCTTGACACTGTTGCTCGGTGAAATTCTTTAGGTTTCCCCTGTCCACTGTAGATTCGATTTGGCCCATTTGGGGCATAACATCAATAGAAAGTTTTAAGAACTAATGGGGATTCTGCAGGGTGGCTCTGTTCTGTTTGCATCCTGGTCTGTCTTCTCTTCATCGTTTCTTTCCTGTGGGTAACTCTGACAGGTTGTATCCTACACTTCTTTCTGCGGTGGCCTACCAGCTCCAGAGCACTCTGACAATCCTCTGAGATACAAGTTCAGCTGGAGCCCACAAGGAGTGTTGCTGAATACAGTTCAGTCTGCTACGTATTTAAAAAATGGAGAGGTGAAGTAATCCTAACATTTCCATTTAAAGCCAGACAAAGAAGGTGGAATTGGGCTAAGGAGGGAATTGGGATTTGTAAGCTGCTGTGTTTACTTTCAAGCTGGTTACAGTCAGTTGCCTAAGCAAGTTGCATACATCACTTAATCCTGTGTTTGGAGTGTGATGGTGCCTGGCTGCTGCCATCTTAATTCTTACTTGCTGTATGGAATCTGATTGCAATGAAGGAGCATGCTCTAATGACTAAAGCACTGGATTGAGGTTGGTGTTCTGGGTTCAGCTTCCAACCCTTTTGTGTGTTGCTTTTGCCACTTAATTGCCCTGTCTTTGGCTCTGTGAATAAAAGGTGAGAGTGCATCCTTCAACTTGCTTTTCTGTCTAGTCATGTTTGTAAACCAAACAGCTTCATTCTGTACTTGCACAGTGTATAGCAGAACTCTCTGATTTCTTTTTCTTTTGATGCAATCTGTAATACCAGTAACCCGCTGAGTGGGTTTTGTGAAAGTGTACAGTGCTTTCTGATGTGTTTTATATAAGCTCTGTTTTGCTGTTTGTGCAGGAGTCATTAGAGTAGAGTTAACCTAGCAAATGTCACTGCATCTGTTTTATGGAAAGATTGTAACTGATTTGTGCAAAGCTATTGCAAGCCATTATCACATTTCTGCTTTCCAGTCCTATCTGTTAGATCATTCCCACTTGCTCAGAACAGTTACTGAGCAGGGGCTCTTCAAATGTCAAGGAGACTGTCTTGTATAACCACTGTAAAGTTTAGCTAATTATCTGAACTTTTTGATCTGTAGAACTGAGAAATCTTTTGAGATGTTTTATCATGACATTTTGGTGCTCTAGTGTTCTTACTGCAGTAAGAAAGGAGAAACTCAGGGATTGCACATTGGATCATTATTTAAAAAGCAACAACACATTGTTACAAGTTTCACATGAAAGAGTCTCTTGGAGAATATGAAAATGTTTCTTAATTCTGACCTGGTTCACCCGTTGCTAGGGAGAATTAGATCATGCATATGAATGATTCATTATGAGAGCACTATGCAAACTTGTCAGTAAATTGTACAATTTTTCCTCCTTGCCACTAAATCCTTAGCTGTCTTTGACTGTTGTGCAGGATTCTTCCACACTAGTGTCTTGCCTGACAAACACAGTAAGATCTTTCGGCATTGCTGCAGACTTCATTGACTTCATTGCTTTAGTCTTTCTTCTAGAAGGAAACCTTGCCGCTTTGCTCAGAAGTAACAAAATGGAGTTTGTATTGATGCTGTGTAGCAGATCTGTGTATCGCCTGCTTGAAGGAAGCGGGGTTCAAAGCTTTGGGTGGGAGTAATAATAGAATTAGTCAATTTTATTTTAAATGTTTTCCTTCCAACAGTGCATTCACTCTGTGCTTTGCAGCTGCAAGTAAAGATACACACGGGCAGCAATTTTATATCAGTGTGATATCCCCTGATTTATTTTAATCTTTAAAAAAAAAAAGAAACAAAATCCCATCCTTCTGTTTACATTTGCCTTTTCCTCCCCAGTAAAAAAAGAGAATAAAAAAATAGACCAAAAAGCAGGGAGCCTGTAGGCAGAAGCTCCCTTCACACTGATGTAGCGTGGGGAGGTGCTCCAAAATTACACTAATGTAAGTGAAATGGGAACCTGTCACCTTAATATAAATGCAGCAGGAATTAACAAGGTGTGTGAGAAGGATGTGGCTTGTTTTAGCCCTTTGATTAGTAGTGACTGACATAGTGCATGCTTCTCCATCACAGGATATGCTTAAATGGCTTGTGCAAGTGCTTTATTTAGATTGGGCCTTTGTTTGCACCAGAAACGCTATGCATATTGTTCCCATTTTGAGCACACTTCATCTTTTCTGTTGTAAAATAAATTAAATAACATTGCGCTGAAATAATATTGCTGTTCTTTCACAAAATTTAGATTATCAATATTCCAGCTGGAGGAGCATTACTTGATTCTGTTACTCCGATGGATTTTTTCCCAGGATTAAATCTTGAAGGTTTTCCTAACAGAGACAGTACAAAATATGCTGAGCCGTATGGTATTCAGACAGCTCACACTTTGTTGAGAGGCACCTTAAGATACAAAGTAAGTTGTTGTTGTTATTATTATTAATTATTGCTTTACTCAAGAGGTGAATGTTGTCATTTCAAGAGAACTATGTATTTAAAAGTCAGTCTTTTGTAGCTCTGTACTTGCTATTTACGAGCTCTCCACTGTCCTGATTGAGAGATAATTGAAACCACTTTTCTCATTTTTTTAATGTAGCTTTACTTGGTTTATTTAACAAGTGTTTGTTGCAAACTGGAAAAATATTTTTACTTGTTTTAGGTAGCTGGTCACTTAGCTTGCATAGTCCTGTATCTGTGTTTCTTTTTTTTTCTCTGGATCTGTATTTGGTGTCAGATCAATAGAAGATTTTAAAAAAATTTAAATAAATCTGACAGGTTTGTGTGATGTGTGTTGCTGTTATGTATTTTTAAGACTTGATCTATTCTCTTAAAGTTGATAAAAATTTGAAGTTAACAGTTTGTTGCTTACATTCCTATGAAAAACATAATGTAAAAATCTCAATGAAAATTACGGTTTTCCATCAAACTGAGAAAGTTTTCCATTAAGTAACTGGAAATCTTAAATTTGAGCAGCTTTAACGTTTTGGTCAGTGAAGTAAAATGTTAGGAGATAAATGTGTTTCCCTTCTAAATGATAGACTATTTTCCTTTCATTTGTTAGGTGCATGAAGCAGCATCAAAACATAATATTTTTTCTTTCAGATTTCTTTTTTTATTATTTTGTTGGTCAATATACGTTAAGAAGGAATAAATCTAAAACCATATTGAAGGCTTGAAAAAGCTTTTATGGATGTCATGATATATCTATTGAATTAAGGTTTACATCAAGGTTTAAGTTATTGTTGTTTTGTGCATGGCTCGAGGAATGATGTGTATGTCCTTTTCCTCTTAATTCCTCTGTTGCAATACAACAGGATTTTTTTCTTTATTTCTGGGTGGGAGGCTTGCTTAGCAACAGAAGATGGAAGGCTGATGTGGGGAAATAAGGGTTGCAAATTGCAATAGCCCTCTCTTTGTCAGTTTGGGTATGATCTCTTGTTCAGAAGCTAAAAATATGTGGAAGGCATCTGTCTCGTCATGAAGTCTTAATAGGACAGTATCTACTCTTCCATTTGGTGCCTGGTAAAATTTTCTTTTGTCTAAGTGTTAGCACAAGGAAAAGCAGAAATGTCAGGGTGACAATGGAGAGTTTATCAGTGTCCTGCAAGAGTGATGTTTCTGTGGTTAGTGCTGTTTTCTTGACCCCCAAAGCAAGTCCATCACTTTGGGTTGGGGTGATGTTGGTAGGGTTGTGTGGAAGAACTTGCCATACCTCTGCCTGCATGGTACCTACATGCCACAGCATAGTGCTGAGCAGGGCAGAAGTTAATGTTGGCCCTTTGCACATGCTACTGTGTTGCAGAGCAGAAAGCAATCCATTCAGTGTGGAGGCTAACATCTCCTCAGAGTGCCTTTTATTTTATTTTATTTTAGCTAATGGAGTCAGATTAAAATGAGGTGTCACAGAAGGATCTCACTGCAAGGCCATCGGAGCTGATAACCTAGTGCTGGTGGAGGTGGCTCCTAAATATAATTAGCCCTCTTTTAGGGTGCTTATTTCCACCATTCTGCTTGCTTACAGTGTTTCTGGTCACTTGCACGTAACTGTTTTCAGGTATCCAGCAGCCGTATGGGAGTGTTTACAGGATACAAACGAAATGAGCAGAAACCAGTTGGGACTTCTTTTATTGTGCAGCCTATTGCAGCCTTTGCAGTTCCTTTTAAATACCATTCCACTGCTGTCCTGGATTTGTCTCTGATATTCCAGAAGGAAAGATACAAACACACAGGATTCTTGTCTCTAAAGTCAGTTTATCTGATGTCCATACGATCACACTGGTGTAAAACTGGGGTGAGCTGAGTTCAGAGTTGGGCTCTCTGTGTCCAGTAGTTTGTTTATGGGCCAGCTGGCTGATATAGCCCTGTCTGTAATGATGTGCTGGAGTTTGAACTAGTGCTGGCCAGCTTAGCCCTCTGATCTCATGAACCAATGCTACTTGCCATGGAAGTATTGATGGCAGAATAACAAGAAGTCATTAAAGAGGGTATTGAAAAAGTAGGGGGAGGGGTGGAGAGGGGCTGAGGAAGGTACCACTCTAGCAGTAACCCCATTGGCATCGTGTTATCGTGGCTGTCTTCCCATGGGAATAATGCTTAACACTACCATGGTTGTGTCCACCACTACATTCAAACCAAGGAGAAATATTCACCTCAGTTTCAAGTGATTATTTTTTTTAACCATGTTATTCTTTTATTTCAGGGATACTCTAAAACTATGGGAGGCTTTGTAAAACTAGGATTAATTAACCCAGATCCTTATCCTTTGCTAAGCTCAACCACACCACCTCTAACCTGGGTGAGTTACTGTGCTTACTCTACCTTCTTCCCCCTGTTTTATTAATGTTCTTCTTATTGCTAAGCTTGGGTGTGCTTAGCAATGGGAATCTTGTATTGCATCCTGGTCTTCTCTGCTTTGTGTTCCTGGAAATTAGGAAGATTTTCTTCAGCAGGAATGTAATACAGTGCTGGAACAGACTCCCCAGAGACTCTGGAGTCTCTTTTGCTGGAGGCTTTCAGGACTCAGCTGGACAAAGCCATGGCTGACTTGAGTGCTGGTGGTACTCCTGCTTCAAGTAGAGTGTTGGGCTAGATGACCCTCAGAGGTCCCATACAATATTTTTATGCATTGTCTTGAATTTTCTGTTAGTCAGAATCCAGCCCTCAGTGCTGTGAGTTTGCAGTGCCCGTATTGGTACTGGCCCATCATCTTCAGTGTAAGAGTATTTAGGGCATCAAGAAGTAAGAGATATGCCTAAATGAGTATATTAAAATATATTTTGTTAAAACTCCGTACAAGCATTTTTTTTTTGTTTTCTTTTATCCTGCTTTTCTGTGTTGCTTACTGATGCCTCGCTTCATCTTAATCTCAGTCAAGGTACGACTCCTATGATGTGCTGCTGTTACATTTGACAATCAATGTTTTGGTTGTCCCTGTGGGCAAAGCAGGGAATTTCATATTTCAGTATGGTGTAAAGAGAGCTGAATTTACAAACAGCTTACTACTTGTCAGGTCTGTTTGTCTGTCTTGTGAGAAATTTTTCTTCCATTTTGCAAACGCCTGAAAGAGTAACTTTGTTTATTACTCAGATGAACAAAATTCAGATCTGTTTCCTGTTTCCTTCCTTAGCCACCAGGTTTATGCTGTGTGGTGATCTGAGGAGAGCACAGTATTTTTCTGATGATGCCGTTATTTCAAGTTAAGAATGTGTTGAGTGTTCTCAAAATCAAAGCACATGGTGAAGAGGCCCAGTCTTGCTTGTCTCTGACCAGCATACACATACACAACACTTCCCATCTTCCCAAACTCAGGCATTTTTGGGCTGCCGTATGGGCTGCCCTTTCAGCACTGTGTCCATTTCAGTGACTGTAAAATGGTCCACCAGCATCATAAAATGGGCTAGGAGTTACTTTTACTTTTTTTCAGATGATTTTTGTCCACTTTCAATTCTAGGATTGATATCTTCCACTTCTCTTTGCAAAGATGGCTAGAATTTCCAGTCTTTCTGGTCTCAGTGAATAAGGATACAGCGTCATCTGTGAAAAGAACTATAAACTTATTAGTCTCAGTGCAAACCTTATCTCAGCGATGTTGTTACATCTTGGTACTTTCCTTTTATCTCCTCTGCCTTGTGTTTTTAGTTTTCTTGTAAGTAGGCTAACCTGAGCTTCTAAACAGACTCTGCAGTTCTTGCTTGCTTTATGTCTTGTTCATAGCTCCATTTATTATCTGTCTTGCTGTGAATGAAGCAAGCAATAATTAGCATCTAGATAGCACAAAATGGCCTTCGGATATGCGCAAAAATCTTCAGAAAGCTTTTTGGTGCTATTCCCAGGATTGCCAAAGCCTTGTTCGTCTCATCAGTCTGTTTCCTTCCTTTTCAAAGGGACATTCTCCATTTCTAGACCAGCTGAAAGATACCCTTAAGTTCCTGACTTTCTGGCTGTCTCCAGGTGGCTTCTCTTTCACCCTAACATCATCTTCCCAGTGTACCCTTGTTTATGCAGATTTCTATGTTCTTTCTTCACTGCCAGAGGAAGGGATAAGACTAAAAAGTAGGGGGAAGCAGCTGAGTGGTGGGGTACAAAGTATTTTAGGAAAAGATCACTTGTCGTGATTAAAAATCTCAAACTATCTCACTTTCCCTGTACACATAACCTGTCTTCTCAGAAGTGCTGGATATTAACTGAGCTTGGTAGAGCAGTGGGTTCTTGAAACCTTGACTGAAAATGAGTGGGAACAGATGTCAGGCCTTCAGGAACTTTTTTTCTTTTCTTTTAATACAGAAAGAGCTCATGTGCAAACTGGTTGGAATTAAGCCACCTGCTGAGTACCACGTTCTTAAAGAAGCTGTCTTTAGCAAACTGGAAAAGGACAAAAGTCAGCTGGAGGCAGTGGAATGGTAAAATGTCCCAGTGATTTTTAAAGGTTTAAAAAAAAAAAAAAAAGTTTTGCAATTCTACCCATTTTGGTCCGTGTTGAGACTGTTAAACTGGTATGCTGAAAAAGCTGGAAATTACAAAACTGAGACTAAGCTGTAGATCAGCAGTGATCAATGTCTGTCTCATTTCTTCTGCCAGGCTAGGTTTATTGGGAGATGAACCAGTTCCAGCAGCAGATTCCATTGTGGGGGCTCTTGCAAAGCACATGGAGAGGAAGCTGCCCTTTGGTATGTGAGAAATTCTTCTTTTTCACGCCTTTGAGTGGAACAAGTCAATATCTCTTATCAGCCTTAATTGGATTAGTTCACCTTCATTAATATACCTTCATGTTAGTTTTTTTTTAATGTCTTGTGATGTTCTCTACTCCCCTAGTTTATCCTTTGCTTTCTCTGTTACATTTTTAGTTTCATCTTAATATTCTGTATTCCTTAATAGTCCCTATATTAAGTTACTTCCCACATACACATGCTGTGTACGCATAGGGCCTTGCTCATCAGAAACCTCATCTTGATATGAGTGAAATACAAGCAATGAATAGTTTGCATGCTTTTCTCTTAGGCGCTGGAGAGAGAGATATGATTGTTATGAGAAATGAAATAGGCCTCAGGCATCCTTCTGGTCATTTGGAAGACAAATTTATCGATCTGGTTGTCTATGGTGATAACAAAGGATATTCTGCCATGGCTAAAACAGTAGGTTACCCAACGGCTATTGCTGCTAAGATGGTTCTAGATGGTAAGTGACTGTTCAGACTTCAGTAACAGTATTTCAACCCTCTGTATCTTCCTGCCTGTAGAAAGTAGATGTATAGTGTTTCTGAAGTGTATATATGTATATTTTTAAAAAATTATCAAACTTTTCCCGTCTTCTTTACAGGAATTTTTAATCTGCATGTTTGGAAGTTTCAGTGACAACTCTTAATTTACTACTTAATCAATAGATATTTTTAGTCATTTAATCTTAAATGTTTCACTGGTGTAGAGAGGAGACCTTTAGCATGGTAAATTACAGCTGATTATGCCACAGTGAAGCAGGCTAACATATACCTGTGCTGGACAAACTGGTGACTTCCTGCTTTCTGGATTGATGAAATTTGAGGCTTGGGGCATATTACCTGATCATGTTGTGTATTTCTAAACAGGCAGACTCTGCCTAGTCATCACTGTGTTTAAGGAAATAGTGTGATTTCCCTTTGCTTGCTCTTAATCTTTAGAACTTGATTCTTCTCTGGCTAACTGAAATGAGCAAAAACTGTAGGGTTTTTTTTGGTTGTTGCTATTTAAAAAAAACAACCACCCAAACTTTGGAAGTTTAGATGCTTTTCACCTAACTGCAGTTGCACAGCTCTATGAATTAAATTCAAGCTGTGTATGCTACTGTGTGTTTCAAACTTTTTTTCCTTATTTGATACCGTACTGATGCTGTGTGAGGACATAATGCCAGTGTTGATAAATTTGCATGTGTATCTATGTAAAAAGTGTAAAAATGAATATTTATATAACTGCAAGTTGATATTTGCATTTGCGGTGGGTTGACCTTGGCTGTCTGCCAGGCACCCTCCCAGCCGCGCTCCCACTCCCCCTCCTCAACAGGACAGGGGAGAAAACAAGATGGAAAAGCTCATGAGTTGAGATGAAGACAGGGAGATCACTTGCCAGTTACCATCACGGGCAAAACAGACTCGACTTGGGGAAAAATTAATTTAATTTGTTGCCAGTTAAAATAGGTTTGGATACGGGGAAAAAAAAAAGACAAATTACAACACCTCCCCCCCCTCCCTTTTTCCCAGGCTCAAATTCACTTCTCCATTCCTGACTCCTCAGCCTCTTCCCTCTGGCCCGAGCGGCGCAGCGGGATGGGGAACGGGGGGTTGCGGTCAGTCCGTAGCAGCTCCTGTCTGCCGCTCATTCCTTGTCCTGCTTTTCCCCTGCTCCAGGTGGGCTTCATCACCGTCTGCGGGGGAATCTCTGCTCCGGCGCCTGGAGCCCCTCCTCCCCGCCTCCTCCTCTGGCCGTGGTGTCGCAGGGCTGTTTCTCACACTTTTTTCCCCCTCACTCCTCACTGCCGTGCAGCATTTTGCCCTTTCTTAAATACGTTTTCACTCGGTGCCCCGGGGTGGGCGGGTTGGAGCCGGCTGGAACCGGCTGTGTCCGGCACGGGGCAGCCCCGGCCTCTCCTCACACAGGCCGCCCGCCCCGCAGCCCCCGTCACCAACACCTTGCCGAGTAAACCCAGTAGAGCACTTACTTAACGCTTTTTTTTCTCCTACCTTTACTTCAGGTGAAATAGATGCCAAAGGCATGGTTATACCATTGATGAAGAATGTTTATGGACCGATACTTGAACGTGTTCGGGCCGAAGGCATTGTGTACAGTACTCGCAGTGTTATCAAACAGTAACTGGAAGCGGTGGATTGAATTGGGTTTTGGCTTTGTTTGGTTCCCCCACCCCTCCACGCCCCCTTTAAGAATCTCAATTTGGACCAGCTAAAGGCAGCACCTGCTGTTTCACACACGAATGGTGCCTTCCATAAAACCGGTCGCCTGACGGATGTAGAGGCTGTAGATACACAGATGCATGAATTGTGGTATTCTCCTCTTAAAACTGTTATGCTTTCAAGTCCATGTTTCAGCATCAATCAGATCTTTCCTTATATCTTTCCTAAAATATCTTGGGAGGGTTTTTTTTTAATTAATAGAGTTTGTCTTCTAAGTGTATAAGGTTATTATTGAGACAAATTAAGCTGAAAGAAAAAAAATCTATTAGTGGATTCTTTTGTAGTGGAAAAGTCTGGTTAATGAATTCCATTGATTAAGTTTAATTGTTCATTTGGTAAAAATAATTTATCAGAATAACAGAGATGAAAGTGATACTTAAATTTTAAGTCTTGTTGTCCCTTTCCCTTTAACAGCATTTGTGAATGTTTTCACAATAACAATATGCAAAAAATGGTTTAGAAATTCTGCACTACTAGCAAATAAGATCCTGTTAAATCTTGAAAATGTTCAGTTGTTAAATATTTGAATCCTAGATCTTAATATTTTTTAAATCCCCTTCTTATGAATGTAAACTTAAATTAATTGGAGGAGGGAGGAAGTTTAAAGCAAGCCTCCCCCCATACCCTTTCCCATTACAGAGTGGAAGCTGGTTGCAATATGTTGACATACCTGCTGTTACGTGCTGCCTTGTGCTGTTACGTGTTGCCTTGTGCTCTGCAGCTAGGAAGGGCATTCTGAAATACAACACAGTTAATGTGCTTAGAAGCTGCTCCAAATGACGTGTTTACTCTTTCCACTTATTTACACTGTGTGCCTCGTCCAGGTTAAGTACTGTTACAAAGGGAATAGACTGTGTAGTATAAGCAGCTTTGAAATGCAGTAGGCTTAGAGGTTTAAATCACTACTTTTTGAGTTAGCTTCTGTCCTTTTGCCATCATGCTCTGGAAGCGTTCATTTGGGAGCCTATCCATATTACTCACTACAGTGCCACTTCAGAGCGATGAGAGTTTGCCAGCGTACCAGCTCATTTGATGCTAAGTGCTGTGCTGCACAGATGTGCCAGCCCGGCTCCAGCGGCAGTTTAGCCCAGAGTTGAGCTGTAGCCTGAGTGCAGCTTCTCTCTGACAAAACAGCCGTTGCCTCCTTCCAGTTCAGGGCTGCTTCTGTGGCTTTTGCTCAGGGATTTCTATGTGACCTTGCAATCAATGCAAGCATGGCTTAGGCTTCACCAATTAGGCCTGTGAGATGCAATGCTGTGGGCAGATGATACCATTTGCACTGGTACCTGTGCAACTGCCTGGAGCTCCCCTTTTCTAAAGCTGAATATGGGTGCTGGAAGCTGTCTGCTTTCAACTTTGCTCACAGGCGCACTTTGCTGATAAACGCACAGCCTTTTACCTCCTGAGAAGCATAGTGCTATTATCACGGTCCTGAGGGGCTGGAATTCCAGGTGCTGCTCTGCCCAGCAGGAAAAGCAGCCATAACAATAGCTGAAGTTTTGATCTCCCAAGTCTTGCTACTCAGGATTTGGATTTTCTTTGTGCATATGTAATGAAGTAGCAACTGTCACAAAGAGGAGGGTTAAAGGAGCCAAAGGGAGAAGGAAGAATGAAGGGCAGAGTATTATTGTCAAAGAGGAGGGCTTTTTATACTGAACCACTGAATGCTTTTGTACTGTCAAATTCGGATTCTGTTACAGTGCCATGCATGTTCTGAGTATTGGATGAAATCCTGGCTCCACTAGGTTGCTTTGCTTCCTGCTGACCTTACAGGCTGTTGGACTATTGTATGGCAGGTATGTGCAGCTGGGGTAAGGACGGAGCCTGCAGTGAATGTTCTGTTCTCTGCTGCCTCCTCCTTCCCCCAGGTAGATTAAAGGCCTACAACTAAGGGTTAAAATTAGACTTGTATCTGCTGGTCCCTTCCAGTCCAGTGCTTGGTGAGACCAGGATTTCACTTGAGAATCCTCTGTTCCCTCCTTTGCCCCACAAATACACAACCACGGAGTTGTGATTCTGTATATATGCATGCACCTTGCTTGCTTTTCTGACTAGGAAATGCAGTATGCGAAGAAAATTGGAATTTTAAAAAAGTGTGTAATCTCTTTGGAGCACAAAAAGAATGAGCACTACAGAGTGTTTTCTTCAAGAAACACTGCTACTATTTTTAAACATTTTGTATCAGAATATATTTGTTTCCCAGTGCAATGCTGCTTTTTGTTTTCTAAGTTTAGACTTAAATGAATTAATTGCTCAGCTTTTGTATGAAGATTATAGACTTCTCCGTTCTCTTTGCATATTATTGGAAAGATAATTGTATCTTACACACAAGATTGCTTGAAAAATAAATCTGAAGACCTGTGTTTCATTGTCATGTCATCTTTACAGTCTAATGAGATGTCTATGAATGGGATTTGTTTTTTTACATAGATGGTTATATTGAAAGGGTGTCTACACATGGACTTCTCTATGTACATGAAATACCTTTCCATACTTCTTGCTAGACTCACAAGAGAAGACTCTCCAAGGATTGTTTAAGCATCCACATCTAACACCCATATATATATCTGTATCTAGACATCATCTTCAGCTATAATCTTAAGAGATGCAATTTTTTTTTAGCACGTTTTGTGCTTGGGCACAAGGACAGCTACTTACGTGGAAAGCTGCAGAACAGTAGATGTGTAATGTCTCTCTGCACCCCAGGAAGAAAAGAAATGAAAGCTTGGTGTCTCACTGCCTATCTCAGCTCGAGGGCCTTGCTCAGCTGAATACGTGGTTTGGTTTCTGCTGTCACTGCCTGGGTTGAAAGGCTCTTAAGTTGTTTGCTCACATCAGGCTGCAAGGAACAGATTGTCACTGTATGTCTCTCTCTCATTTTTTCATTTTGGAATTTAGTCTAGTGCCAGCTCTCCATGACAGGTAAGATCCCAGTTTCTTTCTGAGATGGAGGTGCTCAAGCCTCGTTGCACTCAGACTCCCTTCCTTGCCTCAATGTTTCATGTTCTTTCTGCCCCGGATATTCCTGTAGATGAGAATTACATCCCTTCTCAGGGACTGGACCACAAAAGTGTGACTGCTGGACAAAGGGCGTGTGCTCATGGCACAATAGCTGTTTAAGGGGAAAAAAAATCTCGGGTAAAGTGATTGTGATTAGGCTGGAAAACTAATGAGGAGGGGCAGAAAAAAAGAAATTTAGCTTTGAGTGTCCAGCAGAATTAATCAAGGCAAGTCAGACCATCTCAAATACACTGTGACTAATTAGTGTCACAAGATGTGATGTTGCTAAAACAAGGGAATGAGTTCAGTAAGCCAGAAGGGTTTTTTTTTTTTCTACTTTTTTTTTGGTTCTAAAAAGAAAAGAATGCAATAGGAAACAGAGGGGAATCAGGCAAAATGTGGCCAAATGTCCTGAGAGACTTCTCTTCCCTCTTGTCCCCTTGAAAGGTAAGTCCCTAATCCACCAAAGCACAAACCTGTCTAACAGTAATGGGTGCTCAGACCTTAGCCTTGCTGCAGGAACGCAGTGAAAACCAAGACTAACCTGGGACGCCTCAGACTTACAGTAGTAGTTGGGTCCCCATTTCTGTTTTTAATCCCAACAGGACAACACAGCTCCTCTCCTCCCCAGCCCAGCTTTGCTTATGCTTCAGAACAATCAGAGAGAGAAATGAGTTTAACTTTGCTAAACTAATTTTGAAGTAAGCATTTACCACAGAAAACTTCAAGCCATGTGAAATAACACACGTTATCCTAGGATGTTGCAATCAACTGTGCCAGGTAAAGCATTGTGATAAAATATTGCTTAGTCAACTGATTTTCACAGTCCATACTGAGGTCTTTAACTAATATGCTGTTGTACTTATAGCTATGAGTTTGTATACCTTCTAGTCCTCATTTATTGCTGGCTTTTGTAAAGCTTTTCCATAAGTATTAAATCTCAACACCTCAATCACTAAAAAGTTGGTGATGTTAGTAAATTACTTTTTTTTTTTTTTTTTTTTAACTCTCTACTTACCTATGATTTCTTAGGAGGAAGCTCACTAACCAAGTTTTCCTTGCCACACGTCTTACAGCTTTGTAAAAAACGTAAATCTTAAACTGACGTTGTTTATTAATATCCTACTTCTTGCAGGAGATATACATAACATCTTTTCCACACTTGACCCAGTTTGAGAAGGCAGGCTATATGTCTTTTGAGTCTGTAGCTTGGATTACAAGAAAAAAATTAATTAGAATATGGCCTTTGTCTGAGAGAGGAACTGACACGCATTTATTAAAAATCTGTAATCCATCATGGTTGAAGATTATAGAAGATTTTTTATTTTGTGATTCTTATTTTTTTCTAGATCAGAACCAATATGTGTGAGTAAAGAGATTATCCTAAGCACTTATGTTTTAAATAACTTGTCAGCATGCTAAGATGATGAATGTGATTACAAACATCTCTGGAAGAAACCTTGAGCAACAGCTGATTCCTTGGATTATAATTTTAAAATGTCTGCAAAACATTTAGGTTGAAAGGAACCGTTTTATCAAGATGGGATTTTTAGAAAGGAGGATTCTTTTTTTGCTTTTGGTCCACAGAGGCTTGAAAAATGTAGTAGAATTAATTAGCCTAAAAAAGACTTTGTATATATGACTATATGAAACTGTAAATACATTAATAGAAGATATCAAAATAAAAAGCATCAAGTTATGTGAGGCTACAAGCCAGTTTTCCCAAAGAAAAGGCTGGAGAAGTAGCACACAAACATTATAGTTTCTCTTACTGTGTGCTAATGTGGTGAAGTGCAGAAGTATAAGCTAAGAAGATTATGGAATATGGTTTGCAAATGGCCATAAGATCACAATTAACCTCTCTCATATGAGCACCCCTACAGATTAAGAAAGGAAAAATGGTTTCTGTATTTTTGGAATGAGAAGGGGGGCAATTATATAATATCGCTGTCCTCGTTAGCCTAGATGTGCAAATGGAGGGTGTTGGTCAACCTGAGTCCTTTAGAGGAAGTAGTAAGGAACCCCCAGGCCACCTGGAAAAAGAAGATATTCCTTCCTCAAAGAGCAACTGTTAGACACTTTTGTATATATCCACTTTGTACCTGAAAGCTGTGAAGAATGTGCATGTATAACTCAACAGTGTTACAAAAATGTATATCGTTTGAGACAATGAGCCCATTCTGTAGATTTGTAACTCTTCTCACTCCCAAAATAATACAACTGTAGTAAGAAAAAAAAAAAAATCTAGATCCTATTCTTCAAAGGCATTTAA